GATCAGTGCATCATTTGGCTGCTTTAACACCCCTTTTATTTCACTCAGCAAACTTTGGGTTCCTCCCATATGCCACTGACAGCGCCAGGGTACAGAGGGTGTTAGAAATGAGTAAGACACATGAGGAGTTTACAGAGCCAGGCACGTAGCAGGTCCTCAAGAGATGTGTGAGTGAGTGACAGAATGAGTGAGGAAGTCTGATGGACACATAACCCAGTGAACAAGGGGAACCAGTCCCGCGACAAGCACTCAGGGCTCCCTGGGTCTGAAGCTGTCAAAGCAGGCACAGTTGTTATATGCTCACACAGAAGGGTCAGTTTGGTACAGTGCAAAGTCACTTGGCTTCTTGTCGAGACTATACCACTGCACAGTTCAGCGATGTTGGTAGTTAATGCTCTGAGCCTTGTTTTTCTCATCTGTAAAGAGGGAGTTCAGACTGGATGATTTCTTAGCCCCTTCTAAGCTCTAATATTTTATAATCTATAGAAAAAGTAGTACACAGGCTGAAACTCCAAACAGAAATACATTTTGCGATTAAATCTACTAATTTATGAGAACTTCTCTGAAATAATTCATCACTGTCCTGTCAACATTTCAGAACCTTCACAACATAAGGCAAAAGACAAAAATCAAAGCAAACCCTTCTTCCATTGTTCTGGCAAGTTAGCAAATCTCATTTTAATTTAAAGTAGGGATTATGTCAAAAGCCAAAATGACTGTTGGATCAACCTTTATAGGTACTAAAAACTCAGCATGTATTCTTTGAAGCTCACTCTATACTGTAAGTTTTTTTAGGTTTTTTTTTTTTTTTTTTTCAGTTTTTGATGGTAGGTTTTGGCTCTGGCAAAAAATAGCATCTGTGGACTTCTCCATATGTAAATCTAACCAGTTTTCAGCCTGGTTAGCTGCCAATGCTAAATGAGTATGCCCAAAGCCTGGGTAAACCTGTATGATGGCAGTATTCCAGCTCTCCTCGTGCTGAATTTCATCATCACCCAGCCCTGCTCTGTTTGCTGGGCTCGGAGGGCTAAGGGTCTGATTCTCAGAAACAGAGC